CTGAAGTTCCAATTTAGTTCCGTGACACCAGCTTGCCAGTTTCTGGTGCAATCCTTAATATACTGTAATAATAATGTATTATAATATACTATAATTTACTATAATATACTATGGTAATAGTGTATTATACTATACTATAATTTACTATAATATACTATAACAATATTCTTTCGTATACCATTTGGTGTGGCCCTCTGTGGCATATATCTGGCCGAGTTACCCCCGTGCTTGGCCACTGCGGGAGAAATCAAAGCTTTGGTCGGGACCAGTGCGAGTCCCGAGCGGAAGCCGCTTTTTTGACATCATGAATTTTGTAAAGTATAATAGTATATAGGGTTTAGGGTTTAGGGTTTAGGGTTTAGGGTTTATACACCCCCCCATATATATTATGAGATGCTACAATATATTACAATATGCTACAATGCAAGCTTCCAAATCTGATGTGCGAACACTGACCCATAGACCCCCAAGCACGCTCAGCTCCATGCTACCCGAAATGTCTGAATACTACTATTGTACACCAAACCCAAAACCTATTACACCATGTCTGAATACTAGGGTTTGGGGCTTTGGGTTTATTGTACACCAAACCCAAAAACTACTACACCATGTCTGAATACTCGGGTGTGGGGCTTTGGGTTTATTGTACACCAAACCCAAAAACTACTACATTATGTCTGAATACTAGGATTTGGGGCTTTGGGTTTATTGTAAACCAAACCCAAAAACTGCTACACGTGGACCTTAAATGCACGCCCTCAAGCTCACAGGTCTACGCCAAATCCGAAAGCCTAAAGCACGAAGCTCTCAATCTCTAATGTGCAATATAGAAGCCCAAAACACTGGATCCTTCAGTCCCAAACCTAAAACCAGCCCTAGACTCTGAGCTGCGAATGGGCAGCAGCCAACCCTAATGCATTGGAGTGGTGTGAGCCTCAAGGTCGCTTGCAGGTTCAGAGTAGCCCAGTTGACTCAATTACGAGGGTTCAAGGTTTACAAGCCACTTTTAACTGCACTTACAACGCAATTATACGCCTGCTAAGTCCCCTAATGTGATTCTAAGTGGGTTATGTCACCAGTTATCAATGGGTTATGACTGTCTCGGGCCTCCAAGTTTGGGTCAAGGTTTTGGGTTTGGCATTTAGGGTTGAGTGTTAGGTTTGGGGTTCAATACTTAGGGCTCAAGGCGTTATGCCAAAGACTCCGACAGCCCTGTTCTTAGTTATTCACCCAGTTTTGAGGGCCATAAGGAGAACTTGGGGGCGTGTGCATTTGATAGTAGAGGGAAGCGTTTAGCCTTAACAGCCTAAGTTTCTAGCAATCACACCCTGGCCCCAAGGCCCAAGCCCAAAACTTCAATCACCAACATCCCTGCAAACCCTATCTAATCCCTAAACCCTAAACCCTAAACCCTAAACTCCCTGTACTCAGTACTGTCGGTCAGGACTCCCAACGAGGTCGAAGCTCCATGGCTTCAGGCGGCGTTGTGGTTTCACAGGGCTTTGCTTTATAGTCCCCCTTAAGTAGATAGAATCTGGCTTCGGGTATATTATAATAAGATCCCCATATACCCAGTATTCTATCTACTTAGATTATACCCTAAACCCTATACCCCATAGTCGATCTACTTAAGGGGGACTATATGTTCAGTCCTTCTATTCCGCTGGATTATAAATTAGAGCTGCAGCCAACTACAGTGAGTTCGCCCTAGGGGTTAGGGTTTAAGGTTAACAATAACCTCAGTCACCTGGTTGCCGGACGATGGACCTGTGACTCCCCACTACGAAATGTTCCATGTCCACACTTGGAAAAACCTACTAACCCTAAACCCTAACCCTTGTAGCCCCAATAGGGCAGGCTGCAGTTTAGATGCCCTCCGGCATTGATGTCTTCAGAGTGTTGCCAACCCTAAACCCTAAACCCTAACCCTAAACCATTTCCGGTGCGTGGCTGCACAAGAAACTGGCTGGCACGTGTTCAGCGGTTTCACCTTCCAAGGACCAAGGCTCCAGTCCGTTCAGTAGGGTTTAGGGTTTGGGGTTTAGGGTTTAGGGTTTATGGTTTGGGCTTTGGGGTCTAGGGTTTAGGGATCAGTTTCTTCCTGCGTAGTGATATTCAGGAAGACTCATACCTTGCATGGTGCAACCACCAAAAACATTAAACAGATTCTCTTACTTGAGGTGGTCGTGCATACGCCTTCGTACTCCTGCTCTTTTGCTTGTTTGTCTTGGCGCCCCGCTTCCCCTGGTTTCGTTCTTCTGTTTTTGTGCCCATGCTTAATCGTTTCTTTTGTGATTCTTGGCTCTCGGGTTTGAGCGGCCTAAAGTATTGCGCTGGGCCAGGCATGCGCACCTGCCCTCCCTGCCACCCCCCGCCCCGCTGTGTACACCCGCCCTCCATCTCCTTTCTCACCGCACCTCATGCTCCCTTCAGTACATTGGCTGTAATTACCTCCTAGGGCTATGATGCTTGCGGTTCCGCCCCACCCATCCACCCACCCACTAACCCATCCTGAAAACCAATATCTAGCAAACCAAAGATGTCCTTACTTGAGCTTACACTTCCTCTAGGTATTAAATACACGTAGCATCTTAGAATACGTCTCTTCCGCACGGTGTTATTTTCACGTCCTGTTCGAGAAGTTATAAAGTCCCGGTTGCGCATTGTAAGGACACCTGGCAACCCCACAGCGAGGGTGGGAACAAAGAAATTCAGGCAATCAACACTATCCATATTCAAATTAGGCTTCCCCGGGATTGTGTTACAAACCGATGTACAAAACCCCTTGAAGTCGAGGAGATACCTAATCACGGTAAGTTCTCCTAGATTCTTTCATTTCCACGCCTAAGCCACCCTTCTAAATTCAAATGAAATGACCGCCGGAGTTGTTCAAACTTATCATTTCACAGGCCTGTATAAAGACTAAGAAATCCAGGAGACCTCCGTCGCCCAAGTTCCCAGTCTCACGAGCGTGAAGCCCTTCAACAGTTTTGGACCCTAACCTCTAAAGCCTAAACCGTAAACCCTAAACCCAAAACCAATAAACCCCTATACCCTAAACCCTAAACCCATAAACCCCTATACCCTAAACCCTTAACCCATAAACCCCTATACCCTAAACCCTAAACCCTGAACCCTAAACCCTAAACTTTCCAGGACAGTACAAGGATCTCAAGTCCAAACTGCTAACTCTTCTGGGGATAATGGAAAAGAAAATGGAAACTACAGGGATTATAGGGTTATATGGGGTTTATTGGGATAATGGAAAATAAAATGGAAACTACTATAGTATATTATGGTCATATTGGGAGAATGGAAAAGAAAATGGAAACTACTATTTAGGGTTGAGGGTTTGTGGTTGGGGTTTAGGGTTACATTGGGGTGATGTTGGGATAGTGGAAAAGAAAATGGAAACTACTATTTAGGGTTGAGGGTTTAGGGTTGAGGACCAAAAGGGAACCCTGGAAGTGTAAGAAAGAGGCCGGCGCAGCGCATCCACAGCTGCTTCGGCTACGTCTGCTGCGTCCCTTGCGTCTCGGATCAAGATGTATGGGTTTATATTGGGCAAACCTGGTTTTTGCTACGACATTTAACGCTAATCACCATTAACAGGAAGCCAGGTATTTGCTGTATATACATCCCTATTCTGGTGATTTAGCTTCCCAAAGCCTCCGGGTAGCTAATGTAACAGTTGAAATAGTTACCAACACTATGGTCCTAGATTCTGAAAAGCCTTGCAAAGGGCACCTCGTATTGACTTGCAAATCATACTGGAAAGTATTTAGCCTCATAGCAGTTACCATTTTCCTCTCCATTATCCCTATATAACCCTATAATATCCCTATAATATCCCTATACAATTTTCATAATACCCCTATATAACCACTACATTATGGAAATCTGAGCGCTGTACTTGGAAAGTCCCGCAGGCTCTGAGTTCGGCCTCTGCTAGCTTCATGCCTACAAGCCTCCAGGGTATAGGGGTTAACTGAACCATAGTCTAAACTCCTAGAAGTGGGGGGTATATATGGGGGATTATATAGGGGACTACTATAGGTGTTATCAAGCGCCATGAGCGGTTCGAGCGAGTAGCCTTAGACGCCATGTCTACGTTAAGTCCATCCTGCCACATTTTGATACGATTTCGTGAGCTGTTGGAAGAAGCACTGCACGTGGAGGGCCATTCTCCCCAAGTGATTAGCCAAACTTCTGCGCTGGCATTTGAGCTGTGGCATAACAGTACTCTGGCAGAGCTATTTGAGTGCGCGCGTGAAGTGCTTCCAGGTCAGGAATACACCACGCTTGTACGATTCTGTCGGCAGCACTACCCACTGACTGCTACCGCTATTCGGCTTGACACACATTTCACTGTGCAAGATCTTCCGGCTGCTAAGTAAAGGATGGATTTGATAGAAGGATGCTGGGCACCATTGTTTCGCTTTTTAAGAAAGCATGCAACAAGGGTCTGCAGCAACAAAGTGGCTTGCTCATCCCGGTCCCAAGTCCGGGAGTCGCTCAGCAACAAGTTCCCTATAGCTGGTGGGCAAAAAGCGACTGGCGTGAGGGTTGGACTGGAGGCCTTGCTTCAGCCTGAAGCTGCGCACGCAGCGAACAACAAGGACTCAGAGCCGCATGCAAGGCCGAAGAACGGCAGCGGCAAGTGCAAGTATCGTTCTGCGTTAGCACTGGCATCCAAGCAGGGTTATGCACTGTACAAAGGCCAAACGCTTCGGTTTAAGTGTGACTTCGTTCCTACTTCTGTAAGGACACACAGAGCTGGTCGTAGGGTTGAGAGACTAGGCTGCCTGTCGTGGAACAGTGGTGGGATGTCCACGGAGCTCAACGCAGAATTTTTCAAGTTTTTGGAGGTGGCAGGTGACGTTGGATTTTTCTCAGTACAGGAGACACACTGGGGACTTAACAGCGACTGGACCACTCCATCATGGCATATGGTTCATACTTCAACGGGTCATTTTAGATCAGGAGGCATTCTATTCGGGATGCATTCCAAATATGTAAACAAGGAGTCCATCAAGTGGAGAGTGCTGGTGGAGGGCAGGCTGCTACATGTGCGGTTCGTATTTCAGAGGCAGCAGTTTGACGTTATTTCTATTTATCAACATGCAATGACTTTTTCAGATGGTGAAGTGCGAAAAGAAACCATGCAGAAGCGTAAGAAGCTGTGGAGGGCTCTTGACAAGCTGCTTGCAGAACTTCCGCTGCGGTCGTCGATTGTGCTGATGGGAGATTTCAATACAAGCTTATCCCCAATGCCAAAGGTTGTGGGTTATGGCGTTAAGCTCGGCAGCAAAGGTTCGGAGATTCTGGAGGACAGAGGGATTCTTCTGGAGTTGCTCGGACGAGCGGGCTTATGTGTATTGAACTCATGGGGGCCCATTCAGACCACATATGAACACCCGAAAGGATCCTCTCAAATTGACTTTATTTGTGTTCGACAGGCGGTTGCGGATGGCAAATCAAAGCAAAGTGGGCCAAGGCCAGCCCCCATTGCAGCTTGGCGCTCCTCTGGGCACAAGGTCGTAGTAGCTGACATACCTGTGAACTGGAAGCCCTGGGCGCAGAAACCATGCTACAGACCCCAGCGCCAGCTTCAGCCTCATGTTCCTCACCCCATGGAAGTAGCGACAGAGCCAAATCCCACTCTTAGCAGGATAACTCTGTCTCTTTGCAAGCACTGCCCCAGACGTGAGTCAAGAGTTTCAAAGCCAGAGCTGCGAGACTTGGGAGTGGAAATTCAGCATCTATGGAGTCAACGCAAGGGTGCTGTGAAGACTTCAGCTTTGTGCGTCTCGGTTGCTGACTGCTTTGGCGCTCTCAAGCAGAATGTGGGGGTGATGAAGGCACATCGTGCACTGCGCAAAGCTGCTCGTGACAGGAAACGGGACCAGATTTTGAGTTTGTTGCAGGGTGCGGAAGACGCTGCTAAGGCTAAAGACTCTAGAAGACTCTTTCAGTATGTGCGCCTCCTTTCCCGAAAAATTTCCTCTAAGAAAATTCACTTAAGAGGAGCCAAGGGGGAGCTACTTGAGCCGTCCCAGGAATGCACTCTTCTAGCGTCCTACGCAAGGGAGCTCTTCAAAGGGAACAAGTTTGCCAGCTTCGAACTTGCTCCGCTCCCGGAAGAATGGTTCTCTCCTGACGCCTGGGTTAGAGCGTTTGCAAAGCTGAAGAGTCACAAGGCGGTGCCATACGACTCTGCCACAGTAGAGAGCTGGAAGGAGAATGCGGTAGTATTAGCCCCAGCCCTCTCAGAAATTGCTCGGGACCATCTGCGTTGCAGTGAAGTACGAATCCCCTCCAAGTGGCATTCTGCGCAATTAGTTTGGATTGCCAAACCATCAAGACTCCGACAGCGCCAGAAAATCTACGCTCACTCGGCCTTATGGCCCCGGACTGTAAGGCTTTTCTTCACATTCTAAAGGAGCACGCTGACCCTTATGTACAGGCCGTGATGCAAGGATTCCCACAATACGCCTACAGGCAGGGCACTTCTACATACGATCCAATCCTGCGTGCGAGTGCTCATTGCCATAAGGTACGATCGATCTTGGAGCTCCACAGGGGCGACCTTACTTCGAAGCTCCTCCATCAGAATGAAGCAGAACTCAAGGGTGGGCTAATGTGTAGTCTGGACCTTTCAAAGGCGTTCGATATGATAGATCACGAGGTGCTTCACAAATCGCTGCTGGCCACGAACATGCCGAGGAATCTTGCCAGCCTCCTGGTTGAGATGCATGCGCGTACAGTGCTCACCATCCAACATGGGGGCAAGACTGAATGCGTAGCTATGTCTCGGGGTTTGAGACAAGGCTGCCCATTGGCGCCGATGCTCTATTCTGCTTGGGTGTGTCACTTTTGCCAGGAACTCGATAACCTGATTGATCCGCAGTTCACTTCCACGCATGTATCAATTTTTGCAGATGACAAACATCTCTTCTGGGAAATCCATTCGAGACAACACATGCAGAAAGCCATCCAGCAACTTCGCAACGTAATCAGTGTGCTAGTGAAGCGCGGCATGCAGGTCAGCTTCCAGAAGTCGGCAGTGGTCTACGCAATGCGTGGAAGACTGGCGGAGGAGATGGTAGGGCTGCACACAGGCTGGCATAAAGGTGCACGGTGTTTCAAGCTGCGCATTGGGTCTCAGATGCTTCATCTTCCCATTCATGATCGTCTGACATACCTGGGAGTGGTGCTGTCTTATGGGGCATTTGAAATGCAGACTGTTCAGCATCGTATAGCGAAAGCGTCCAAGTCGTTTGGTATGCTGAGTAAAACGCTACGTGTAAATGGAGTGCTTTCAATCTGTCAGCGGCTGCGCGTTTACAGAGCTTGTATTTGGACCTCGTTAGCCTATGGGGTGACAGCTGTTGGGTTCACGGCTGGAAGCCTGAAGCAAATCCTGAGCACTGTATATGTGCAGCTGCGCAAAGTTTTGCGGATGCATGAGAAAGGCACAACGCAAAAACAGGTCCTCTCAGCTGCGAACTTGGATGTCGCGAGCATTCTTACTGCGCAAGCAGAGACACAGGTTCATAGCACTCAGCGCAGATGTAGCGAAGCGAACGACGCATGCGGTGCTGAGTGTGTGGAACTGGAGCGCGCGAAACAGGTTCTGTGCCAGATTCAAACACTATCCAATCAGGAATCACAGGGGACACTCCATGCAGTTGTTGCTGATCAGATGCCACGGGTAGATTGCCCAGTTTGCGGACTACAGTTTGCGGGCGATTATGGGCTACAGATGCATGTCAAAGCCTCACACCCAGAGCTCAATCAAGTTTCCAATACTGACTTTATTCGTAGCAAACACAGCCTCTTTGGCGCTCCTGTTTGTAGATTCTGCCGCAGCCGCTGTTACAACTGGCAGGCATTGGAAAAACACATAGCGGAGGGTGGCTGTTCGCGAATTAAGGATGCGTTTGCAAAGGGTCTCACCGTTGGAGATCTACTAGAGCGGGTTGAGCAGGAAGAGATTGCAGATCCCCCACTCCCTCCTTCAGATCAGCTTTCTCACGAGCCGCCATTCATTGAAACGGGACATGTTGTTTTGACGTGTGCAGCTCATCAAGTTCCTCTACACCTCGATGCCTTCACGAAGTTGAGAACAAAATGCGGGCTTTGCGGGCAACGTGTGAGGGATACCATCACGCTGAAAACGCATTGGAGGCAGTCTCATCCTAAGGCATGGGGTGAAACGTACAGGGACGCGGCAAGCTCGGCAAAGGCAATGAGTTCTATTTTTCGTAGCCCATGCCAGTTTTGTGATGTTCACAACAAGAACGCCAAAGCTCATGCTGAACGCTGTCCGACGTTTTTCCAGGTCACAGCTCTACGCAAGTTACAACAAGCGGGTTCCAACAGATTGGAAATGGAGGGAGTCAAGCAGCAACGGCCCAGGCAGCACGAAAGAGAGCCAGAGTACAAGCAATGGACAGCGGAGAAAACGGCCATTGGAAAGGCATTTGGGGCAACCTCGAAACAGGCGAGACAGGCGGCTGGGGAGATTACAATCCAGGCACCAGGTCCATGCGGGCAGCAGACAGCAATCCGACAACAGCAATCACAGGAAGCGGAGAAGTCGAAGCAGACACATTCAGGCCTCCTTCGGTATTTCAGCAACATACAGCGGACCAGGACTAGCGCAGAGCCAGGTTTACCAGAGCGTGAAGATCGCAACCTACCGCTAACATGCAAAGTTCGCTTTCGCAATCCTCATTCTCTATGCTATGCCAATGCGAGTGTTCTGGCCATTTTACACCTTCTACATGTGATTGGACAGGACTTTGGCAACCTGGAGTTCCTGCGACAGGCCTGCTCAGCTTCGGTTACAGCAGACACTGACATGAGCTTGACTACCAATTTGATGTTTCGCAGTTTATTGCCTGGATGGAGCTATACAAATGTGCAAAGAGATGCAGCTGAGTACACCATGTTGCTACTGGAAGCCATACGCATGTTCAGGTGTGACTGGGTCCTCTGTGATGCAGACAACGTTGGAGCAGCTCTTGAACGAGGTGGCAATCCGCTCATGATGCAGCTCCCTGATGACATGTGCACACTTCAGACTGTCATAGACGAATGGGGGAGACCGGAGCCAGGCAGGATAAGATATGTTCAGCAGCAGCCCGGGGTCATACTCATTCAGCTGAACAGATACACTGCAGGTCACAAACTCTTCTCAGAGGTGAGCTTTGAGGAGCCAGTGCGCGTTCAGCAGATGGACGACGATAGCAACATAGTGCACAGATCCTTCAATGTGGTTTCAGCTTTGTTTCATACAGGACGCACGATCCATTCCGGCCACTATCAAGCTCTGCTGAAGGTTGGAGCCTCATGGTACATAAGTGACGACAATGTTTCAGCGAGGGGTTTTGCAATAAATACGCATGTTCGCCAAAATGTTTACTTGCTGCTACTCTCAAGATGCTGATTTGTTCTTGGCCGGAGCAACTTGTAGCAATGACAGGATTAAGCGATGCACAGAAGGAAGAGGAGGCGTTCTTTGATCGGTACTTCCCTGCAGGAGTCAGCCAGCGGGCTGACAGCTACAAGATGGACACTGACAACAGGGCCACCAAACAGCAGCGCACTGAGGGCGACGGCAGCAAGGGCAAGACCGGACGAGGCCAATCCGGCAAGGGCCGCTCTGGTCGCTCTGACCGAGTGCAGGACAGGAGCCGCAGGGAGCCATCTGGACATCGGGGCGGGCCGGATCGCAGCTCAAGGTCTCGCAGAGATGCAGCAAGGGATAGAGAAGACGGGGATCTTCGCGATACCATAAGCAGTCTTCAGAGACTAGTCCTCAGGCATGAAGACTCGATCAGTATGGTTCAGTCGGAGTACTCGTTTGTGGCCTTTCTAAGAGTGAACTCGCCTTCGAGTGTGGTTGGAGCTCTCTATGATGCACAGCATGCGTGGAGAGAACTCAAAAACACCAGCCCGGCTCAGCTCAACAAGCCCATGCGATGCAGCCTCCTTGGCTGCCTGTTTCGGGAATTATCTCACAGGATGAAAGGCCTGGAGAGCGAAGATGAAAATCGGAGGCGACTTGTCAGCTTGGGCTGGCTCATGGAAGACTCTTCGTGGCGCTACCTACAGTGGTCCTCGACCCAGAAAGTGCTCCTCGCGGACGATGCGCGACAGCCTGTGAAAGGCGCCGAGGCTATTGAGTTGGTAGCCAAGATAGTGGAGCTGGTTTCTGAACCAGGGCTAGTGGTGAGGTTTCACCCAACGAGGCCTCTAACGGGGCAGATGGCGGGAGACTCGCTCACATGCTGCCTCCAGGTTTCGATTCGCGAGCCCAGAGCAGCTCTTCTATATGATGCGCTGGACAGGCTTTCAGGGCTGGCACGTACGCAACTCGTAGGAATGGGGCTGAGGCGAGACAGAATGGGACGCTCAGCGCTTGCGCAGTCCATTGCCAGAAATCTGTGAGGCAAGGTGAGCCGTGTCCAAGGCGGCGGGGCCTCTAATGCTGCTTTTTGTGTGCAGTGCTGAAAGCTGAACGATCATCCTTGTACATGAGTTTTCAGCCTTGACGTGGCACCATACGCAGATTTACAAAAGTCAGCACACTCACCACACTGCAGCAGGAAGCGTTCCCTGGAGCCTGAGGCATTCATCCCATGAGACTGATGCGATGACAGGCAGTGGTGCTTTAGCGGTAGGTATTGAGTCTGGATGGCTTCATGTTTTGTTCGCAATGCAGTGCGCCTCCTGCAGTTTTGGTTTTGGTTGCTTGGGCAACAAACATGTCATGTGTGCCGGAACGGGAGGATGCCCCTGCCTCCAATGCCAAAGTGCCGAGCTCCGCTGCGTTTGCTTTTCGACTGCAGCGCGCACCTCCAATGGCATGGGATCTAGAGTACACCCCGTCGGACGACGAGGACATGCTCTCACAGCCGGAGGTTGAAAGCATGGAGTCGGACCGCGCGTCGGGCTCAATGTCCTCCCCTGACATCAGTCCCGGCATGACGACGGGATTTGCATTGGAGCTGGGTGAATGGGCCTCAAGCATGCCTGATGCTACCACCGACGAGGCGGAGCAACTTGCTCAGTTGCTTCTATATAGGGGCCATGCCACCGAGCAACAGCTTCAGCAGCATTTTGCACTTTTACCTTCGAAGCCTCATTCTCGTAATGGTTCTAGTAATTGTAGTGATGATGTACTTCACTCGGCTGCCTCAATTACTTTTGGTGCGTATGTTCATGGGGGCATATTTGGATGTCACAAGTCGACGACTATGCTTCCCTGGTCGTGCCGCCTATGGACTGCTATCATCAGATCAGTGTCTCCACAACACAAGTTCACCAGCGTTACGATTGCAAGAAATACAGTTTCCACCCTTCACAGCGACAACCACAATCATGCGGATTCAATGAACCTAGTGATTTCTGTATGCACAGGCACCTGTCAAGGCGGGAATCTATGGGTGCGGGATGATGAGGGCAGTCACGTGCAGGCTGGTGCTGGTCGTGGACGCATATTGCCCTTAAGTGCTTCTGGAGTAGTGTTCAATCCCAGAGCTCCACATTTCAGCTTTGATTTCACTGGACTCCGGTTGGTAGCTGTTGCCTTTCATATTCGTGATTCCTGGAGACTTTCCGCCAGCAATTCTTGATGCCTTCTTGCGCATGGATTTGAGCCTCTCGAAGTGTCTCCTGAACTCAGTGACCCATACGTTGAAGTTGATCATTTGTAGTTTCTTTAGTTGTCTTATGCTTGGCCCCACGGGGCGATGAGACGGCAATGCTGTCTGTTCTTGGGCACAGCTTTGGCTTGTGCTAGTTGGGGCCTAGGCCCGGCAAGCCGTCAGGAAATCCGACCGGCTACGTAGGACATCGGACGATGTTCGCGAACGCACTGCACTGCACTATAGGTGTTATCAAGGGATATACTACGAGTTTAGATTATGCTCATATTCATATATGGGTATTGTAGAGATTAAATAGAGGTATTACAGGGATTTTGGGTTATGTAAGGGTATTATAGGGATTATATAGGAGTATTATGGGGATTATGTGGGGGTATTTTAAAGATTATGTAGGGGTATTTTAGGGATTATGTAGGGGTATTATAGGGACTATGTAGGGATGATGGAAAAATGGAAACGACTCAAGGGTTCAGAATCAAGGCCATAGAGCAGACTATCCCAGTAGCATTCGGGACACTGGTCGCGCATGATAACTTTGGCAGATGCAATCTGCAAATGGTGCGTGCGCATTTGTCATCGGCTGGGCTGGTACCTGCCTCAAATGATATATTTCTGTATCTATATCTATATATATACCCCCTGGACCCTCCCCCCCAACCTCTTCTGATTGCCAGCTCGAAAACTGGTCTGGTTTTTCCGACCTCCCCCCCCAACCCCCTCCCATGCCGGGCCCAACACCCCCATCCAAAAACCGCCCCCGACAACTCCCACCAGACTTCCCCAAACGTGGCACTCATCCGTTTTTTAAATTTTTACTGCGTAGAGTCACACCAGAACCCCAAAAAGTTCATGGGCCCAAGGAAAGCGCTGATAGGACCAGAATCTACTTTAGCGGCGCTGCAAAACAGCTTGAACCCTAAACCCTCGCGCGGGGAACTGTGCTTCGGGCCATGGCCTGACATGATTTTGTGCCTTGGAAAGCATCACCCCACTGCTTCGACCTGAGTGTATACATGGATCCCTTTGATAGGGCTTCAGAGCAGTGCCAAGGCTACTAGCGCTTCGTCGCACGACAGGCTTATAGGGTTCAGGGTTGGAACTTTCAGTAAATAGTAGTTTCCATTTTCTTTTCCAGTATCCCAACATAACGCCAATTTAACCCTAATATAACCCTACTACTTATTCAGGCTTCGAACTTTCAGGGTCTAAGCAGGAGGCCATCACGGATTGCATTTTGACGTGTCTCGCCTTTGTCCTCCCGGTTCAGACTTCTAGGGACTAAGTTGTCCCCCTTAAGTAGATAGAATATAGGGTTTAGGGGTTATAGTCCCCCTTAAGTAGATAGAATATGGGGTATAAGGAGATCTCATTAAAATATACCCGCAGCCGTATTCTATTTACTTAAAGGGAACTATAGAATTCTGGGGCTTAAGTTGTCCATGTTTATGGTTGAACTAGTAGAGTCAATCTTCCTCTGCGCGTGCTTAAGTGGCGGGATTCTAAACCCTAAACCATAAACGCGAAACCCTAAACCCTTAAACCCCTAAACCCTAGATTCATCCAGATTTTGGGCTGCAAACTCGTTTTGAGCTTCGCTAGTCCAGGAACTTTTCAGTTGAAATTCACGTGGGAGTTTTAGGGTTTAGGGTTTGGGGTTTAGGGCTGAAACTAATCTTTCCAGAATCCCTAGTAGGAATCTCCATAATCACCGCATGACCTGCATCTATGCTTTGGGTCCCCAAAGATACCCTATTTTGAGAAACTTGCAAATTCTGTATGGCAGTATTTCGCGTCACTTGCATCGCCCATGTCCAACCCTGAGAACCCTACTACCCCCGGAGGGGGGTTCTCAAACTTGGGGTCCCCTAAAAACCCCAAGACATATACTGGGATTAGAAGGGGAGCTATTCGGGTCGTAGTTTGGGATTACATAGGGATTATTGTAAGAAACTCCCATACATCCCTGAGGCGCCCAAGGGCCCCCGCCATGACACACAAAAACACTTTTTTGCATGTGTAGAAAATAGACAGGTCATGCCTTCTCTCTGCACCTTTGGCGCGAGAGTACGTGTGCGTATGCTTGCCATTGTTATAGGTTCAGTTTCACTGGCACTAGATTCCATATAGATTCTAAGAAGGTAGGGGTCATTTCCTTTGTGAAGAGTGGTCTACATTAGGAGGACCCCCCAGCCTGTAATAGTGGTCACTATTACTGGGTGGGGGGTCCACCTAAGGTCTACACTGATTTGCGAAAGGTGGGAGTTGTTCAAAGTAACCCCTATGCAATCCTCAGTAGCGACGGCCGCAAGCCCTCTGTTATCCGCACATCCCCGTGAGCCTTTATTGAGTTTCTAAGTGGCCTAAACCTGAATAGCTCTGCCTTGTGAAGCCCCTAAATAAGAAATCTCCGCGCCGTCCTCAGCGCGATCCAGGCATTCATGTGCAGCACAGTTTTGGACCTTTTCACGCCCACTCAGTAACAGCTAGATAAAATCTTGTTTTGAATTTGCATATAGCCCTAAACATTTTCGAGGGCAGTACTCCAAAAAATTGGACCTGTTCATTAGGAGGACCCCCCCCACATTGTAATAGTGGTAAAATAGGAATATAATTGGACCCTAATGTAATCCTTATTATCCTTTACAGTCACTATTACAGGGTCCTCCTAACCTATTCAAGTTCAGGGTTGAGAGTTAAGCCTTTAGGTTCAGGGTTCATTAGTCAAACCTTCATTTTCATGAACATCCTGAGGTCCTATAAGGGTTTTGGGTCTAGGGGTTAAGGACTTAAGGTTCAGGCCTCGCAGTAAGGATGTTTGCAGAGTAGGCTGGGTAGCTACCCGTGGATTCCAACCACCCTTAAGGTTTAGGGTTTAGGTTTTAGGGGTTTAGGCTCCCCCAGACTCAAAACCCAAGCCTCTAGTCCTATACCATTCCTAAAGATTGAGCAGGCAGTGCGCTGGACTTTGTGAGTCGAGCCGCTGCTATCGGCTGTGGTTCAGTGGTGATCGATGCCACATCAGATGCCCCTGGAGGCGACGGTCATAGGGTGGTTGGTAGCAGTTTCAATAGTAGCAGTAGCAGTTGCAGCGCTGGCTAGGCAGTAGTACTGTTCTCTTTGTTAGTACTGTCATTGCGCTTAGTAGGAGCAGTAGCCGTAGAATTCTCAGCAGCAGCAGGAGCAGCAGTCGCAGTCATAGTAGTAGTCAGATCCGGCAGAACCTGCTTGGCAAGCACATATGGGCGCTCACTCACTTTGAAGTCCTTGGCATGCGGCGGTGTGAGTTCTAGTCGACCGCGCTTCTCAGCGAAGTTGAGCGGCTGTGACTGGATAGGATGATTTGTGGCATGACCTCACTACTTGGCTAAGTTGCGGCCTTTCGCGGGTTGCGCCTTATGGATCTACAGTCCTTGTGTGGAACCGACTGCCCACTGAGACTTTCCCGCCTATTTGCGCATCAATAGTTGGAGAGCTTTCGTCGCTGGCCACTTGCTGTTTTTGCAGCGAGCAAAGCGCCAGTTGACTTGGATTTGGGGTTAAGTTGCGATCTCATATTTACGCAAGAATTGGGGTTGCAATTAGGTCACTACATGGAGAATGACCCATCTGCAGGCTTTCCTCCTCCAACGCTATGCCACTGGGAAGACTCGCAGGAGCGCGTGGCTTGAAAAGTTTGGTGCCAGAGCCCCGAACATTTAAACCCCAATGTGCAGCTCCAAACATGATCTCCTTGCCGTGTAAGGATTCCGAGGAAGATCCCTCTCTTTATTTGTTGACATG